TATGAATGAACGGTATACCAGAATTTAACAAATTGTGCCAGAGTTTACCCGAACAAAGGTCGGCAGTTTAGACCGTACGAAGGACCCACAAAACGTAAGTATAGCCGGCGTTCGTCTAATTTAGACGCACGAACGCGGAAGTTCACTAACGGGTAAGTATGCACGAACAGGTAATGTATAAGTGAAAAGGGAGCCTACCCCTACATTTTTAGGCCCGAACGGAGGGAAATGTGGCTATGCCACAGAGTTTACAGCCAGATCCCTAAGGACAAGCTTAAGTGAGTGTGCTGGTCTCGTGACCGAAAGCCAAATATCGCGACCGGGAGAAGCCGGGTGGCAGGGCTGCAGAACGGACAGAGGATTCAGCTGGACACCTCTGCTGCTGGAGACTGGAGCTGTTTGGTGGGAAGCTCGGACCGAAAGTGCTGGTTGCTATGGAGGTACAACAATCAACTTTACCGGCAGAGGTGACTAGGGGCTGGGAGTTTAAGTAGGGCACTTACTCCTCCCACAAATTCAGGCCTCATGGCCTTTCTACATATACTTAGATAATATATATAATAAATATATATATGATCTAAGTATATATAATTTAATTTTAAACTGCTTTAACGTTTACTTTTATTTTTTTACTGGCAGCAGGGGGAGTACCTGTCATTACAGGCACTCCTCCTGCTGGCATTGCTATGAACGGCCATCACATGGCCCAGGGGGCCAAAAAGGAAGGAGGGGGACTCCCTGGGCTCCCAGGTAAGTCCCCACACTGCGATCGCCGGCATAGGATCGTCAGCGTTCGGGTAAGTACATTGGATGGCGGGGATGTGCTATGCCACAGAGTTTACAGCCAGATCCCTAAGGACAGCATAGCATGCCCACCATCCTTAAACTTTGCTATAAATTATTCTAATGGATTTTATATATCTATATTTATATTTTTATTTAATAAAAAATCTAAAAGACAAAACTTTATTGCTTCCAATGCAATCCTTATTTTATATTGTATTCTCAATTATATATATTTTTTAAATCGAGGATCTCTTACTGACTATATAAAATTATAGCTAAGATATGGTTAGCCCTGCTAGGTTCTATGCTTTAAGATGTTTTAGTGGTAAATAAGGGAACTAGCTGCGGTTACAGAGAGATCTTGGATTCCATCAAAATAAAATATGTCACTGCCTACACTTTTTCCTCATCTATTTGCCAGGAACTAAGATTGCTGTTTGCCATGATCTTCTCTTCTTTTACCTTCATGAACAGGTCCTTTAGTTCTACCTCACTTTCAGCCATCAGAGTAGTATCATCTGCGTATCTGAGGTTGTTGATATTTCTTCCAACAATATTGATTCCAGCTTTGGATTCTTCCAGCCCAGCCTTACGTATTATGTATTCCGCATATAAGCTTAATCAATAAGGTGACAATATACAACCTTGTTGCACTCCTTTCCCGATCTTGAACCATTCTGTTGTCCCATGTTTGGTTCCTACTGTGGTCCACATACAGATTTCTCAGGAGAAGGATGAGATGATCTGGTACTCCCATCTCTTTAAGAACTTGCCACATGTTGTTGTGATTCACACTGTCAATGTCTTTAGAATAGTCTATGAAGCAGAAGTATATGTTTTTCTGGAACTTTCTGGCTTTCTCTATTATCCATTGTACATTGGCAATTTAATCTCTTGTGCCTTGTCCTCTGCGGAACCCAGCTTGTACATCTGGTAATTCCCAGTCCATATATTGAGTCGAGCTTGTAGGATTTTAAGCATTACCTTGCTGAAACACATACTAAAGAGAAAAAACACTATGTCCTCTTGGACGAAACTGGAATTGACGCAACGCAAGTAAAACAGAAAGTGAGATTGTGTACAATCCAAAGAGAGACTTGGAACACACGATCAACCAGGAAGAACGAAATGCGAATAACGAGCATCAACTGGAGGGGTTTTACAAGCAATAAACAAGGTTTAAAAGGGAGCATGGAGGACAATGGAGTGTTATAAATCGGACTGTGGAAGCCACAAAACAGCAAAACACGTTTCGGGATAACTAATAATAGACTCTAATATACCATTAGGTATTTGATAGCACTTTTATTGTTTTTTTTAATATACTTATGTTTAAATTGAAATAAAGTATTTTTAAACTACTTGTACTCCAGCATTTCTAAAGAAGGGTGTGTGGTCCTTAACCACACTAAGCATCTTTACTGAGCCAGCATGCAGGCCCAATGTTTGTGAGTAATTACCCTCAACTTATTTTACTAAAGTATAAGTGGATCTACACTATATTCTGTATCTTTTACCCTGAGACAACCAGAGGAAAAAGGGGGGGGAGAATAAAAGTTACCACCATAACTACTACATCAACAAGGGGAGTGGTCACCCAAAATGGACAAACAAGCAATACATACCAGAGCTAGGTCATATAGCACTGGAAATTGTGTGTTAAATAGAAAATTCATGCATTTGTAACTGTGTAAAAGATTTCACACTATTGCACTTTATGTTTTTGTTTAAAAGGATATATGGTTGATTGAAGTTGCTCAAAGGAGAAAATTGAACAAAGGGCTTTTATGGTGTGTGCATATATATATGCACAGAATGTTTTTGACACTAATTGTAGATTATGCTAACGTAGTGTACCTATAATCTTAATTTTAATAATGACAGGAGGCGAGTATTTTGCATAACTTTCTTTACTTTATGCCTCCAGCAGCACAAGTCAATCAATAAACTTTAAACCAATCAGTAACAGGCATCACATTCATATATAAAGCCCTGACAGTCACATGACTTCCTCTTTCTTTGATGCGAAAAACAGTCTATTATAACGTCAGGGAATTCAAATAACAGTCCTGAGTAACGTGTAGCACATAACTTGAAACCTTCCAGCTTTATCTTGTCGAATCCATCTATGATGATTACGCTGAAAAGAACATAAATACGTGAAAGGTGATGGAAACCAACTGTTGTCCACATTAAATCCAGTACTATATGTGTCTATATTTATATTAAGTTAATATACTGAAACATTAAACAAACCATAGTATACTTAATAATCAACACGGATCTAACACATATCAACCAAATAAGCATCCCATAAATATACTGAATTACCAAACCTTATAATTTACACTGAGAAAATGACAAACCAAGATATAAAAAATTTCCAGAGTATAGGGAGGGAAACAGGGAGGGAAAATACTCGCCTCCTGTCATTATTAAAATTAAGATTATAGGTACACTACGTTAGCATAATCTACAATTTTATCACATGACAGGAGGCTTCATATTTTGCATTTTTAAAGCTGTGGTATGAGCGTGAAGGATGCGTGTGTGGTTGACAAAAATAAATATACGGAAGTAGTCTATCCGTGTCCAATTCGTCGCTGAAAATATAGAGGCCCCCTCGTGAAGGCCTGAGAAGCAGCTGCGCCTCTTACCGAATGAGTACCCAAACACGTCTCCACCCTCGCTAGCAATAACAACCAATGAACCCATCTAGACAGAGTGTTCATGGTAACTGGCTTGTACGGTTGGTATAAGACCAGCAGATGTCCTGAATGTGACATTCTAAGTGTTGTCGTGATCTCCATGTAACAAAGTACCCCTTTAACTGCACAAAGGCTGGGAAACTGTCGGTAACAGGGAACGATACGGACACGGATAAGATATAGTTCTACGAGACACTGTAGAAATTATTCTTTCCGGTGATACCGAAAAGACCGTCTACGTCGAACTCCAGTACATCTGATACCCGACGAAAAGACCTAAAAGTAACGTTACTATGGCTAATGGCTGACTGAGGGATAGGACCGTGATATCTGACTAGCTCCAAAAGAACCAAATCAAAGTCCCACACCAGTGATACTTTGACGCATGGTTCTGGACGGTTTGATTCCCCACAGAAAATGGCATATCAAAGGCTCTTAATTGACCGGAGTGTCGTGAATCGTGCTATGCATTGTCGAAGCCCGTTAATGGAACGTTCCGATCGGCCTGTAGTGAAAAGGTATGATAAAGATCCAGCATCGTGGAGATAGGGGTAATAAAGGGATCGCAGTCCCTTCCCATACACCAGCGAACTCCAGGTGTTCCATGCGGATAAGTTATTTCGGGGGAATACCTGGCGTCCATGAGTCCCATAGTAGGTCTCTAGTTGGTTGCGATAGTCCCTTGACATACCAGTCTCCCCTGGAAGACACCAATCTACCAACTCCAGATGCTCCTGCATTCTCAATGGATGATCTCCTTTTGGATCCGCCCGAAGGCAAGTTAAAACGGAAGGAGCAGAGGATGATCCTGATTAAGGACAACCCTTCTGGGTGTCACGCTTGCCTCCTTTACCGCAGTAATGAGTACTATCGAAGTCTTCGCTATTCTGATCCCAATTTCATAGGTGTGTCCGTATCTCAGGCAGTGAGCTTTCAGCCACTGTCTGGCCTGGTAGTGAAGCAGTCCTGGGAAATAGTCAAAAGGTTATGGTGCCTTTCCGCCGTACCCGTCGAATTTCCTTACGAATCGTCGCTATCAATGATGTGGGAAGGTGTAATCCGCCCAAGGTGGAATCTATTCTGAAATAGAGGAACTGAATCACTCGGAACTGGGATAGAACCAACTCCTCTCTGTTCACTATGAATCCCAACAATTCCCGAAACTGTAAACATAAATCTCGTTTGTAAACGTAGTCATGAATTGGATTTGCAAAAGGTAAGTCGTCTAGGTATGTGACAGCAGATACCCTTTGCTTTTCAGTGCACAGTGACCGACTTCAGAAACTTCATGAGGCACCATGAGAACCTATAGGTAAGTGCCCTTCAAGTCCAACCTTGTAGATCCCCTAAGAGATGGATACCTTCCTTCTTGAGTTGTCGGTACGCCCCAAAACCATTGGGTTGGCATAGGTTGATGACTGGGTGATAGTCTCCTATCTTCTTCCTTACTACCAAACCGTTGCTGAGATAAATGGTTCTCCAAACGATAGTCCGTCTGCCTGAGGTCCTCGCTCTTTCGTCCCTAACTTCAATAGTTTGAAATCCATCTTTAATCGGGCTGCTTTGCGGCGTTCTGTGCACCTGTCTGCCTTGCGTTTCCCAACTTACATATTGCCCTTTGCACCCATTCCCTCACATCGTGAGCTTCTAGAGGTGAGTCTTGTGTGGGGTCAGGTCCGCAAAGTATAGAATTTTTTCCCGGGCTGATCATATCCAGTATTTAACTCATTTGAGTCCTCCTCCTACACACTGATCGGGACATACATATCACCACGAGCTCCATAGTGAGGACTATCTTGTTCGGACATAGAGGGCGTGGGCATTCCATCCTGAGCCTGTCTCGGATTTCTTTTCCCATAGGCCTCCTAAGCCAGAAGTGGGCCCGGTGCTCCAGTTAACCCCATTCGGATGACCCTGGTTGTCGGATGGTGCGTGAGTCAAAACAGGAGTGTCCAGTGTGCCAAAGAAAAAACCTTTCTTGCTAGGCGTGTCTTGTCACTTTTACCTCTTCTGCCCTCCATTCTTTCATGATCTCCAGAGAAGGGGGGGGAGGATGAAGTCCTCGTCCCCTGATGATGGGTGTCCGACCTAACGTCGGTATCTCAATCTTCCATTGGTGTTGCTGCCGTTGCACCCGCTCTGTCGGATGGGTTGTTAGCCAGCATACTGGAGAGGACTTCTTCCCCCGGAGCTGTCATGGCAGCCTTAATCCTCGCCTGAAAATCGGTCGGGGATATTGAGGTAAGTCCGACATGTTGGTTCACACCCTTTCGGTCCGTGGGAGACAGGATCGTACAACAGTACACTTATTGCCACTCAGTAGGCCTCCGCGTATAACTGGGGGTCACCCAGAATTTTGATCAATCAGTATCATTTTCGCAGGATCCGGGGAGTGGTCTGAGAATGAGGACACCCTCAGTAAGACCGGGATGAGCGGTCTGCAATGTCGGGACGTAGCCCGAGTCTGGGAGACGTGAAAGCCTCAATATATATAGTCCACGGGGTTCATCCTTATATGGTCTAGAATTGTGGAGTTTTGGCAGCACTGTGAGTTCTCCTTCTCGGTTAAGGGAAGGGCGTACGGAACCCCAGTTGAAGCATAGAGGTGCCAGAATACATGCATCTAGTGCGCCCTGGTCTGTGCATACAATGACAGAGCGTACTCTGAAGGTAGAAGCCCTAGAAAGGGTGCGGGGGGTCACCCCTTTGTACCTATGCCACTAGCACCGGAGTAAGACTCGCTTGGGGTTCACCCAGCATAGGGGGGTCACCCCTGTATGAATGTCTCTTATGGCATGTTGGGACACTCTTTCGGTCTATGGGGTACCGAACAGGTGTCAGGTACGGTAGTACACTTATTGCCACTTAGTGGGCCTCCACGTACAACTGGGGGTCACCCAGAATTGTTTCAATCAGTACCACTTAGAGATTTCCTGGGAGTGGTCTGAGGAGGGGGTCACCCTCAATAAGACCGGGATGAGCGGTCAGTAATGTCGGGACGTAGCCCGTGTATGGGGAGGTATGGTAGCCTCCAAATTATCCAAGGGGTCACCCTTATAGGATATAGTACTGTGGAGAATTGGCAGCACCATGAGCTCTCCTTCCTGGCTCTGTCGATATACATGTATTCAGTGTGACCCGGTCTGTGCATACAGTAACAGATCGTACTCCGTGGAAATGAGCCCGCCCTAGGGCGTGGGGGTTCCCCCCAGTATATGTATGTCACTAGTACCGGAATAATATTCGCTTGGGGTTCACCCAGAGTAGGGGGATCACCCCAGTATATGTATGTCACTAGGACAGGAACCAGATTCGCTTGGGGGTCACCCAGCGTAAGGGGGGTCACCCCTGTACCACAATGTCACTTTGGAGAGGTGTCTGCCACGCTTGGGGGTCACCCAGCGTAAGGGGGATCACCCCTGTTAATCACTCCATTATGTGCCTCCACTACTGTGTCCTGGGAGGTGTATCCCTGTGGGGAAGGAGTGTATCCAATGGTTGTGAGGTCCAGTGGGAGTAGGGAGCGGAGTAAGATATCAGCTCTATTTAATTTCCCTGCCAGTAGATAGAGTAATGCATCCACTATATACCCACAGCAGGGGACAGTCCATTCATAATCCTCCAGATGTACAATAAAACTGTTATTCAACATGTCAATTGTATAGAACAGAATAGAGCAAACTGTCAGCAGATGCACACAGCAGGGATCAGTCCTACATATTCATGCAGAGTTACATATAAAACTTTTATTTCACATGCCAATGAAATATGCCAGTATAGAGCTCAGCAGTGAAAGTCCATTCATAATCTTCCAGGAAAGGTACATATAAAACCTTTATTCCACATGCCCATGAACAGTATTGAGCTCAAAAGTACTTGTAAAACTTTTATTTCACAGGAAAAATATATGAAACAGTACAGAACTAGCCGCCAGTTCGTGGGAATCACGAACTCCCAAACGACATGGCCGACGTGAATCTCGCGAGTGCCGCGAGATTCAAGATGGCCGCCGTTCGCGCGCAAAAGTGCCGTGCGGCCCACGATCGAGGATACGATCGCGGTCTGCCGGCATGGAAAAGAGTCCCCCCGACATCCCCAACCCCCAGAGACCTGCCCTGAAGTCCCAGCACCAATGAATAAAAAGCGTGCTCGCGGTAAAACGCCGCAATCCATGCGAGACCAGAGTAAAGCATAGGAAAGAAAAGGTGCCAGCAACAGAAAACAGGCTAATAAAGCAGAAAATACAGGGTTAATTCAGGGGAAGGGTAACAGGGGGAGAATATCACACTATACAAATCCAAATGGAAGGCAAGTGCAAAATAATGAAAAACGCTTAGGCCAAAATTGCAGGACAAGCTAATAAAGTTTAACAAAAGTGCCCATGCATATCCAGAAACAGTTTGGAGCAAAAACTGAATGTCTAGCATTAAAAATCTAACTAAAGTGACCATAGCAATATTAATAAAAACAGTTGGAGCAAACTGAAAGTCAATTAATAAAGTTTAATTAAAGTGGTATCCAGAAAAAACAGTTAGGATTAAAACTGAATGTCTAGCATAAGGTGTCTAACTACAGTGACCATAGCAATATTAATAAAAACAGTTTGGAACAAACTGAAAGTTAAGCAATAAATGATTAACTAATGACAATTGCAATATTCAGTAAAACAGTTTGGAGCAAAATACTCTGACTTGTGCCTTGGCTGGTAAGCAGCAAAGAAAGAGGAAGTCATGTGACTGTCAGGGCTTTATATATGAATGTGATGCCTGTTACTGATTGGTTTAAAGTTTATTGATTGACTTGTGCTGCTGGAGGCATAAAGTAAAGAAAGTTATGCAAAATATGAAGCCTCCTGTCATGTGATAAAATTATATAGCGCTCCACTATTTTTTTAATAAATTTATTATTTTAGAAACCCAATCAAAAAAATAAACAAGATTAGTTTGGCATGATCTCCCTGAAGTAAACCTATGTTGTCTGATCTTGAACTCTATGGGATTTTAGATGTTTAACAATCCTATCCTTTAACATGGTTTCCATCACTTGCCCAACTACTGAAGTAATGCTTACTGGCCTATAGTTGCCCGACTCCTCCCTACCACCTTTCTTGTGAATGGGTACAACATTTTTCTAACTTCCAATCTTCTGGGACTACTCCTGTTAACAATGATTGGTAAATAAATCTGTAAATGGTTTTGCTAGTACACCACTAAGTTATTTTAATAACTTTGGGTGTATCCCATCAGGCCCCATTGACTTATTTGTCTTTACGTTTGACAGTTGAAATAGAACCTCTTCCTCACATGTAAACTCACATGTAACAAATGATTTGTCCTTTTTCTTAACTGAATTCCCTCTCCATTTTTAGCTGTAAATACTGAAAACATTTTTAATCTAACTAATCCTTGTTTTACTTTCCTTTTCTCATTTATGTATCTGGATGGTACTTCCACAAACTCTGTGCCTGAGACTACGTTTTTTGCCTTCTTTTGGATCAACAGCAAAAACATATGTGAGAAAGGCTGAACTTGATGGATGCAAGTCTCTTTTCAGCTATGTAACTAACTAAAACATTTTATCCCTCTTTTTTTACTGACTGTGCTAATCTCTCTTCTGTGTGTGCTTTGGAGGCTCTTATAACTTGCTTTGCCTCTTTCTGCCTAATCTTACAGATCTGTCTACCTTCTTCATCTGGATTTTTTATAATTACTATTATTATTATTGACATGTATATAGCGCCAACAGATTCCATAGCCCTTTACAATAGTTTGTCACCAACGTGGGCTGTTGACCCAGCCGAGACAGTGGGGAGAGTATGGAAGTAAAAGGGTTAATTACACCAGACCCCTGGTTACCTGTTGATAGTCACAGCAACCACTAAATGCTAACTTTTTTTTTTTTATGCCCACGTCTAAGGAGTACCACAGTGGTTTCTTAATTTTTCTGCTCTTCCTGACGTGCCTAATGCAATTTTCTGTTGCTTTAAGAAGTGCAACTTTTAAATAATCCCATTTCTCCTGGACTCTATTTAAACTGCTCCAGTCTGATCAGGATGTATATTCTAATTTTAGAAAAGTCTGTTTTTCTAAAATCTAAAACTTTTGTTTTTGTGTTGTGTGACTGAGTCACTTTTCTTATATTAAAACACACTGGCTGATGATCACTGGATCCTGAACTTTCACCTACAGTAATATCTGATACTAAATCTCCATTTGTTAACACAAAATTTAGTATGGCCTCTTTACAAGTTGGTTCCTTAATGGCATGTTTTAGAGATAATCCCAGTAGGGAGTTTAGAATGTGTGTGCTCCTGGCACAAGCAGCTGTTTGGTTTTCCAGTTTACATCAGGACGATTAAAGTCACTGTAGATGCGAATATCCATTTTGCTCTATATCCTAACTGTTCATGTAAGGGTTAATTTGAATCAAGAATAAATTTGGAATTGTATCTCCAATTCTCAGAAATGTTATTGAAACTTTGTTATGTTCCTGGAAAATGATATTTACATGACATGACATGGCATGACACGACATGACATGACATGACATGATAAGGATTCTGGAATGACCTTGTTAATTGTCCAAGATTTCTGTATTTGTAATCATCTGGGTTTTATCCAATATGCATACATTATGTAACATCGAATTATAACTAAAAACAGCTGTTTATAACTTGTGAAAAATAATGTCATTGTCACGCTCATATGGTCATTTTTCCCCCTCCCATCCTGCTATGAAAATGGGTTATAAATATAACTGATGTATGAATACAATTTGAATTGGTTATTGAACACGTCTCTGCTATTCATTTCCAATTTCCAGAGCTCTGTATGAGTTGGCAAATATCCATCATCCACAAAGGGCCCAGGCTGATTTTATCCCCAACAAATTGGTGTCAGAAGTTTTTTGGGAGCAATTGGGAACGGATTAGCAGGTAAGAGGGTCTTTAGCCCCTTGGGGACACAACTTCTGGAATTTAAGGGTATCATGACGGAGTATTTCTGTCGTGTGTCCTTAAGGGGTTGGGGACCTTTGCCTGCTTCTGCCATCCTCCCACACATTGCATTTCTTGTTTTAATGGGGTTTTTCACTATTTACATTTTTAAAGGGATTTTCACAGGATAATGTCTTTGGTAGACATGGTATTTTGTTAAGTCTTAGGTAGACTTCTATTACTCCATGGGTTGGAGGATTGCCTTTGGTAGGTAGTAGTAGTTATTGTGCACATTTCCTCTTTGGTAAGAGGTTCACCTTTGGCCAGGTGTTAAAAATAATTTCAAGCCTTTGGTAGGCTGTGATGTCCTGTGATGTACATTTACATATGGGAGACGTCCCTAGATCCCTCTTTGGTAGAGGTTGCCTTTGGTAGGTTGTAAAACAGATTTCCAGTCTTTGGTGGCCTGTGGTATTTATTTAACGTAGATGTAAATTTGGCAGACTAAAATGGTTTTAAAAAAAAAAAAAGGAAAAAAAAGGGGGTTAAAAGGTATGATGGATGTTTGGCATTACTCCGGCTTGCTAATTTATGTGCTATTTTATGATGTGCAACGCTAATTTTAAGCATAAAGTCTTAATTGAGGGAATGTAAAAAAGTACATGTAAAGGTGATGATGAATAAGAAAAAATTAGAGGTTATTTAAAGGGGGCTACAAATTCTAGAACTAACATGATTTCTCTGCATGTATGTTTGTTTGCATAATGAGCCCTTATTTTTATACTTGGTCAAAAGTACTATAAGCCCACTACACTTTTTCATGAGAGTGGGATGTATGATTGTTTATATGATGAGCCCTTTATTTTCATATTGGGACAAAAAGTCACTTCATTCAAAACGTCAAACACCACATTCTTTCTGTCCTGAGTGTTTGTTGCAGAGAACTTATGTTGTAAATTTAGATGATTATGAATTAGAGAGCAAAATGTATATTTTCAGCGTTCCAACACATGCTTCATTTTGTGCTGTAAGCTAACTTGTAGTATTCCAGTACGTCACATGTTGTATGTGCTTTAAATTGTATGTATTCTGTAAATTATTGTATGGGGTTGCTGAGATTTTATTGCTTGCGACCCAAACTGTGAAGAAGTGGGTTTGAAATTTTGGTCATGGAATGTAGGATCAGAAAACCATGGACAAAGGTTTTTACCTGTGTTGATATGACTTTTGGAAACTCAAATTGACCGGTCAAAATTTTGCCATGCCTTTAACATGGAGTAGTATAAATATTTTGAGTCTTTGAGAGTTCTGACAAATGCAGGTGATACCATGTCTGTGTAATCTGGTCCAAATGTTCTATAAGCGTATAAGAGAGAAATTCCCTTGACAGGTTTCATATGTTGCAACTGGTTAATGCAAGTGTTATACAAATGTTTAAGTCAAACGCGTTATATGGCCGTACGGGATCCCTTCTTTAAAAAATAAAAAATAAACCCTTTGGTACCAGAAATCTTAAATAAATCCAATACAAACTAAAATTGGTATACCTTACAATAATATGTTCTGAATACAGCTGTTAGAAGTTTATTCTGTGTGAATGATGATTGTCATAAATGTTTGTTTTGGTTACTCATTTTAAAGTATGCAGTTTAATTGTCATGTATGTTAATGGGTATTTTACTGTGTTATTTTAAATTATATTTGAATAAGTTTGAGTATCAGTATTGATACAAATGGAAATGGCAGCGTAATAATCTATTAAATAACTGATTTATTATTGAATACTTGTCCAAGAGCAATATGAGTTGTAGTCTTAAGAAAGAAAAAAAGGAGGGAGTCTGTTTTTGTAAATTTTAGCTGATTTCCAAAATTCTGTTGCAATAATGGACTTCCTGCCAAAATTTGACTTTCCTGTCCAGTTGCCAGGTGCTCTGATCTAATCTTAAAGCAGTACTGCTTGCATAGTTTGCAGACATGCATAATGCACAAATATGAGAACCAAATTATGTCCGTCACATAGTGTGACATTTATTAATTTATTTTGGATTGAGTTAATTACCTGTCCAAGAATATGCTTTTTGTATTGGCATTTCTGCTGGATATCTGCTACATGTTTTCTGTGCTATAAGATGATGTGTGATATTACAATGAGTATGAAGAATATTTAAAGAATATTTGCATGTCATTAACGCAAGCCTTTAGTGTCTTTTTACAACAGATTTAAAAAACGCTGATCAGCCAACAAGAAAGGGGCCCCTGGGAAAGAAAAAGAATAAATATATAATTTGCTTTTCAAAATCGTGGATCCACGTTTCAGTATTATTAGGGGAGTATTTAGAGTTAACGCTACTTTTAAAGTGCATTGCATTATTTAAGAAAAGAAAAATGTGTTATGTTATATGGTTATATAACAAGAAAAATTATGGATGTATAGGATAGGTTTTTTCCAAGATTAAGATTCATCTAGTATGCCTCATTGATTATAGGAAAATGATGAAATGGTATTTTTAATAGAGATCAGATAATTTCTTTTGAGGCAATTCTAAACTACTGTATTATATTTGTATTGGTATATTGAAAGCATTTTGCAGACCCAGAAGAGAATAAATAATATAATAATAATAAAAGGAACCATACTATGGGAAGAGGTCACCCTATTAAATTACTAAGGGGTTAAACTCATTTTGATAAGCATATAAATTTAGTTTTTGTGGTTAGAATTTTTGATACTCAATTTGAACTCAATTGAAGTATTACAACCATATCCTTGCAGGTATAGGAAACAGCAATATGCAATATGATTTTAATATTTGCAATATATTAGTGTTCTGACAATGGAAAAGTTCCTAACCGCATGTCTGTATTACACCTATGACACAGACTGTCAGTATTGCAAACCCTATGTGAAGACTCTGCTTTCACTGTTTATGTATACACCCCTAGACAACCGTGCTATACATGCACAATAAATCTTCAAAAGCCTATTAATATTATATCTGTGTGGTACACAAATAGGTGTACACAAAGAGGGGGTGTGAGTTAAGTCATCTCGACCTTCATATGGAATATGCTTCCTCCTTGTTCACTTTTGGTCAAACTGTTGGTCTGTGACTGGCCCTCTTTGAACTGAATTTCTTGGGAAGATTCATGAGAAAGATACAGCAGGTTGTTTTGGATATAAAGAAAGAGGGAAAAGTATGTTGTATCGGTCACAAAAGGATTGTGATCTTAAGCAGGCGAGACAAAGAAAGTTTGGAGGTGATAGATTGAATCAGAAAAGTTTTAGAGGCAGAGGTAGAGAATTTGATCAAAGGATTTAACTTTTGTAGAGATGGTAACTTCAGTACTGTTTTAATTATGGATAGCAGGGATTCACCCAAAGGTGCTTGTGGTGAACCCGGTTCTCCTGGTCAACCTGGCCCAGCTGGCATTCAAGGACTCCCACCCTGGCAGGTTCCTCAATACCAACCACAACTTTCAAGCTATACCCACACCCAACAACCTCAGCCTAATACACAGATGGTTCATGTTTTTAATACTTTATATATAGTTTTGATAGATAAAACAGTATTAATGCTGGCTCTTAGAGGATGTACAAGCTGAAGTTGGGACCTAGACATTGTTTGCATAGGCTGTGCAATGTGAAATAACTAAAATAAAATAGGATAATAAGTATGCTTAGTCAATTTGTAAAGTGGTATAATAGAGGCATCTGCAATAAATTAAGTGGGTTTCCAAGACCTGACAAGTGAGAGCAACTTAATATAACATATGCCTACAGTTTGCTGTCCCTTCCTTATCAGAGGCCACTTGCAACACAGCAAGACAACTCTTCCGAAACCTGTATTAAACAAAGCACTTTAGAACAATAGTAATTTATTTTGTTTCTCCTATTTCATTCCTAGTTGTTCTGAAAAAAAAAATATTGTTTAAGTGGGATAACTGTATGGAGGTTCCAACATGTATTAAAACATGATCACACACATCGGGATCTATAAAAGGTTTGGGTTTCCAAAGATGTTATCAGGGTCCACAAAATGTTATTAAAGTAATTAATTGAGATTATCAAATCAAGGTTTAAGTTTAAGAACAGCATTTTATTGGGAATTATACCAAAATGTATATGTTAGTGTTTTAGTACTCAACAAGCATTTATATAGAATGAGTGCTTCTCTCATCCATACAAGGCATTTTAAAGGGAAATTATGTATTAAAATTTTATAAAGGACAAATTCAATGAATTATAAGCAAAACTGAGAGACGTACATGTTACACTAGTTAAGAGTTTAACTTTAGTCTCTAATTTGAGTTTAGCCTAGATAATTAATTTATTGATGCCGTACTGATCCTTGTGTTTGTATGATTATAGAGACCGTACTGGAGTATTTGTGCTGCCTGATATTTGGGACCGCACACCAATCTCTCTGGCTGACCTACCTTTTTTTGCAATTAAATCTGTTTGGTCAAAAACCATGCTGGCCGAAGAAACTGAGATGCTTAGTTATGAGGACATAAACTAACTTGGAAAGTCCTGAAGATGCAGTGCTGTCTAATGCCGCTATTTCTGTATTACCCTTTCAACAATTGGGGTGTTGCACAGAGTATTGTGGTGAACATCCAGCAAACAGAAGAATTAAGAACTATGTGGAAGCTGACATTGTCTTGTTGTCAGCCATATTGCTACCCTTAGCTATGTTATGGTGTCTAAGATTATGGAACAAAGTTTATGGTGTCTAAGATTCTTTATACTCCTTGAAAGACTTATAATATTTTTCTGGACTATGCTGGACTATTGAACTATTTTGTTATTTTTATTTTTGTAGAGTTAGCCGGAGAGAGAGGAAGTGTTAGCTTACTCAGGCATGGATGTGCTATGTGTGTCATTGATGTATGTTGAGTGTACCAAGGATGGATTCCAATGTATTAAGTGTGGATATGACTGGACTATCGAAATAGGGATTTGATTAGGAGGCATAGGACGCAAGGTCATGATTGGGATTATTGCTAGAATTGCAAACTGATTAGAAATGATCTTATGATTTAATATGTAAGTGGCCTTTTCAAACTAATCAAGAAGTGTTTCCCAATCCCGATACCTGAGCTATTTACTTACATAGTGCAGGTTTTATAAGTCACTAATGCTGTCAACGTGAGGGGATGACATGTTTACACAGTCATGGCCCTCACTTAGAATTTACCCAGATGTGCTTTTTTTCTCAATTATGGGTTTTTGCCACTGGGATTTTTGACCTGGCCCAAGTTCACTGGGTGGACTGGTAATCCAAGACCCTGGTCCAAAGAGGGGAAATAGATTTTATTCCCATTTTTGATTATATGTGTTTACGTTGTAAATTATAGTAATAATATTCCCGTTGTTAGGAATAATACACTTTGCCTGTTTTGATCCAAGGCTCAAGTTACAGATAACATGATGTGCAGTATGTTTAAAATTGGTTAAGATGTCAGCTGTTTGAAATATTTAACTTGTACACTTAAAAGATGTGTACAACAGATGATTACAGAAGCTGAAAATCGACAGCTCGATCTCCTCTTAAAGGGAAAACCTACGGCATAGAGCAAATGGGGGAAATCGAGGTGAAGAAATAAGGAAAGTCCCGCAGACGTGATTAGCACGTCTGAATATACCTCCTTTCGTTTCTCTGCCGCAGGCCTCCCATGGATATTCCATAAGGTAGATCACGATATGATCTAAAGAGAGGAATTGTAGGATATGAATATCCATTTTGCTCTATATCCTAACTGTTCATGTAAGGGTTAATTTGAATCAAGAATAAATTTTGAATTGTATCTCATGTCACAATGACTTATCTATTTACGGGAGATGTTATTGGAACATGATTTTGTTATTTACATGACATGACATGACATGATAAGGATTCTGGAATGACCTTGTTAATTGTCCAAGATTTCGGTATTTGTAATCATCTGGGTTTTATCCAATATGCATACATTATGTAACATCGAATTATAACTAAAAACAGATGTTTATAACTTGTGAAAAACAATGTCATTGTCACGCCCATATGCTCATTTTTCCCACTCCCATCCTGCTATGAAAAAGGGGTATAAATATAACTGACGTATGAATACAATTTGAATTGGTTATTGAACACGTCTCTGCTATTCATTTCCAATTTCCAGAGCTCTGTATGAGTTGGCAAATATCCATCATCCACAAAGGGCCAGGCTGATTTTATCCCCAACAAGTATAATTACCAAATAATAGTGACATACAGTAAAGTGCAAATGTGTTTTGCTTTATGATCTAACTGACCTCACCTTATTGATTGGGGAGATGCTGAGTCCTCCCAAAATCCCACAATGTTATATTCTTCAAATATCTTGGAGAACAATGTAAGGGACACAAAGGTCATGGTGAATCATGAAATGGTGAAGCAATTGAAGGGGTTTGAGGGTGGAACATCTGTCAAAAGGGATGTGAAACAATGTTGTCAATCTTGAAAAAATTATCCCAAATATATGCATAATATAATGACATAATCTGACATCTCGTATCCATTAGTGAGTATAAAAGAGGCTGCGTTGTGGAGAAAAGTCAAACATTCATTTATTGTTACTCAATTTGGATTTGAACAGGCCAGTTCAAAGTCATGTCTGGAGCCATAGGTGGTCAAAGTCAACAGAATGATCAACCAAAAGATGTCAGTTATTATGAGAAGCGCCATCAAGAGGACACAAAGAAGGATAGCAGTACACCACAAGGTAAGTTATTCACTATGAAAAATAAATAAATAGAAAAATGGCTTGCATTAAATGTTTTTTCATACCTGATACAGTTGCATCTTAAAAGAAACCTGTATGTCTTTCGAGTTTTTAATGTATCTTGGTTTTTGAGCAAAGATGTCAAAGTATGTCCCTTAAATTTTGCAATCTCCCTTTGTTCTGAAGGTTTGCCTCTGTCATAGCTATGGATACGATGTTTGTTTATGGCCCACCATATTGTTTTCAGATGGAGATACTTTGTAGTTCCATACTAATTACTGGACTTGAAACGTGAATTCCCATTGGACAGTTGACTTTATGCATTTGAATTTAGACATCACAACAAAGTCATTTAGTTGCATAAATGCCTTGTCAGCTATAAACAAATTTGGCTATGGTCGTTGGAATATTTAATGCAATGAAAGCCGTATTATAGACTCAAGGTCTCTATATAGCTTGACAGGGGGCTTTTACGTTCTTTGAATTAGTGCTTTTAATTAGGATCAATAAAGATCATCATTTAGATCACAAAACAAGAAAAGCAACTTCAGTAATGGGATAATGTTAGCACCTGAAAACGCCAGAAGAATCTTGGATAGTTTACTACTAATATTCCTCTTATATAATGCTAGGATATGGCTCCTGAGTATTGGTTTATCTTTTTTGCTACCTTCCACAGGTGTCTTGTGTTCTTATGTTTTTTTTTTAATGTTTTCGTAATTGTTTTAGTGACTTTTATGTTAATGTATTGATTTAAATGTTCACCAATTTATAACGCACGTGCAATACTTTTATACAAAATTAAATATGCACCTAATAATAGGATTACAACTTTTTGATCTCTGTTTTTGATGTACTACTATGCACATTAAGGATAATTCTATTCGGGAATTTGTATATGTGAATATTCTTGCTTAAAATCAAATAAAAATTGAAAGTGGAAAAAAATATATAAATATATATAAATTTTAACTATAAAAAGGCCCAGGGGAAAGCATTAACGAATTAGCATCTTCCTAAACGGCTGATTATTTTGTTGTCTTGGCAACGCAGACTTACAGTTTTTGGAAAGCGTGGTATGCAGATAAATGTGAATGACTTGTTATCTTTTATTATTTGAGTTTGGTAGTTTGTGCATGTATTTCAATCCCTTATCTGTACAATGCATTTCAAAAAACTCCAGCGTGGAGAGCAAAGTTCAAGAACACATGCAGGAGTGGAGGTAAATCAATACTTCCAGACAATTAATGTAAAATGGAGACTATACCCTGATATGTTTACAAGTACACATCAGTTAAATAATACAGGTTACTCATAATGTGACTACTTTGACTAGTAAATCTGAATTAAGATGGCTGCATTGATGTGAATTTGCTAATAATATAGATGTGCCACAAAGATAAACAATAAAGATCATAGAAACAAATATAACAATTATGATATAATGTAAAATGCACGTATAAAAATGTGTTATTTAAACTATATTTATTTATATATGATATATTTTGGAAATAATTTTTGTATTTTTATAAATTTAAAATATGTCCATGTGTGTTTGTCAATAGTAGACCAAGTGGCACCTCTGGTACCTCAGCCAACTGCATCCCAGCCAGCTAAGAATCAACCAGCTGTGAGTCAGCCAGCCCAAACTCAGCCAGCTGTTAGCCAACCAGCTGTGAGCAAACCAACTGCGAGTCAACCTGCCCAAACTCAGCCGGCCACAGGTCAACCAGCTGTGAGTCAACCAACCGAAACTCAGCCAGCTGTGAGCCAACCAGCTGTGAGCCAACCAACTGCGAGTCAACCTGCCCAAACTCAGCCGGCCACAGGCCAACCAGCTGTGAGCCAGCCAGCTGTAAGTCAACCAACTGAAACTCAGCCAGCTGTGAGCCAACCCGCTGTGAGTCAACCAGCCCAAACTCAGCCTGCCAACAGCCAATCAGCTGTGAGTCAACCAGCCCAAACCCAGCCAGCCAAGAGTCAGCCAGGCAGTCACGTGTAGTCATTATGCAAGAAATAACAATTTAAGAAGGCACAAGGAGGCCCACATTTTGGGGGGGGGGGGGGGGGAAGCATGTCAATATATATATATTGCTTATTTAATAATTAAATATCTTTAATCTCTTCAATAAAATGATCAAATGAACGTAATTAAAATAAATTAAATTGATTAACTCAACGTATTATTGCTTGTTATCTCTGTTACTGAATTTACCGAGAACAAATACGCAGAATGAGAATTGTAACCTTGCTCAAGGACTAAATAGAATATACACAGCCCTCCATACACACAATTTCTATCTTAACGTGTTTCATGGTGTTATACAATTATTACATTATTAATTATAATACTGAAAAAAACAACTGTATTCATTGTAAAAGGATTCATTGTTAAAATCTGTAAATTTAATTAACCTAAAGCTAAATCAGACCTCACACACCTATCAGAAACAGTAATTAGAACTGTTATATACTCAAACCTAATGATGCTTATTGTAATATTGGGGAGGCAGGGGCAGATAGGGAGTATTACTAAATGTTTGTAAACAGTTCCAATAACCTCCACTTAAAACACAACTAATATAAGAATGTTTTCCTATATAAAGCCTCCAACGTATTATCATCTAGCTAGTAAAATGTCCCTAAATGCAAAGTAACCTCTTTACTACAAAACATGCTCAAATATATATAAAAAAAAAAGAATAATCTAACTCAAAAAAAAATCAAGTCACAGGCATAATCTCACTAGTCCTATTTTGTGCATCCAATGAACTGAGTACTAAATTAAAGTTCTTTATAATTATCCAAACAAATAAGATACAATGCACTGTATATCAGGCTATGGATATCCTTTATTATAGTATTGAAAGAGCTTATCTATTCTTCATTTGAAATGGATCTTCTACTTTGGACTCAGGGGAAACATAGAGAATTACTTTTGTTTTGTAAAAAAAAAAAGACACTTTAAATCCTGAATCTACAGCAATAAAAAATGTGTTATCTGTAGCTGACACGAGGACATCTGCATAGAAGTTCCTGTAACTACCAATTCTGAAATGGGTTCATTATTTTAATTAATGGATGAGATGGTTCCTCAAGTGGAAATCCTTTCTAAAGGTTCCATAAAGAAATCCAACATTTCAGATGAACCTTTACATGAAGAGGAATATTTATCAATCATTATGTTTTGGTTTTTTAATTGATTCAAAAAAGGAATCTGCATGTGTCTTCAATCGAGATGAGCGGACACCTGGATGCTCGGGTTCGCCGGGTTCGGCCGAACTTCGGCAAGAAGTTTGAGTTCGGACTCGAACTTGACCCCGAACCCCATTGAAGTCAATGGGGACTCGAACTTTTGGGTACTAAAATGTCTCTAAAAAAGTCCTTTTAAAGGGCTAGAGGGCTGCAAAAGGAAGTAAAATGGGGGTAAGAGTAGGACTAGTGCCCTGCAAACAAATGTGGATAGGGAAATAACTTTTTTTTTTAAATTGGATTAGCCCCCAAAATATTGGGACATATAAAAAAAGAAAACAAAGAATAAGTGCCCTTGAGTATAACAATGGCTTGGGGAGGCCAGTATAAATGTCTATTCTGCACAAGGTACAGACAAGTCTGGTGGGATCCATGCCTGGTTCATTTTAATAAACATAGGCTTGTCCACATTGGCTGTGGACAGGCGGGTGCGCTTGTCTGTAATAACGCCCCCTGCTGTGCTAAACCCACGTTCAGACAATACACTGGCTGCAAGGCAGGCCAGCACCTCCAAGGCATAAAGGGAAAGCTCAGGCCATGTGCCCAATTTGGAGACCCAGAAGTTGAATGGGGCAGACCCATCAGTCAGTACGTGTAGGCGTGTGCACACGTACTGTTCCACCATGTTGCTGAAATGCTGCCTACTGCTAAGACGTTCCATATCAGCTGGTGGTGCTGGTTGTTGTGGCATGCTGTCAAAAGCTTTTCCACATTTCGGCCATGCTAACCCTGCCTTCTGAGGTGCTGGTGGTGCCCCAGCTGCGTTGGCGACCTCTTCCTCCTCCTCTGCCTTCGTCTTGTGCTTCCACTGAGCCCCTGGTGTCAGTTGGAAATGCCCTCAGCAGCACATCTACCAGCGTGCGCTTGTAGTCGCGCATCTTCCGATCACGCTCCAGTGAGGGAATTAAGGACGGCACATTGTCCTTGTAACGGAGATCCAGCAGGATGGCCACTCAGTAATCAGCACAAGTTAGAATGTGAGCAACTCGGCAGTCATTGCGCAGGCACTTTGGTGACTCTAGATAACCTCGGGCCGATCGCACGTCGGCGACGACACATTCGGATGTCTGCCCTATAAACTTTAATGGTACTTTCTGCGCCTATCATGATGACCACGGGTAATGGGGAATCAGGGTTCGATTCCGGAGAGGGAGCCTGAGAAACGGAAGGCAGCAGGCGCGCAAATTACCCACTCCCGACTCGGGGAGGTAGTGACAAAAAATAACAATACAGGACTCTTTCGAGGCCCTGTAATTGGAATGAGTACACTTTAAATCCTTTAACGAGGATCTGACCCATGCGTGCTGCAGCTGAAACTCCTCTATCGCCTGCTGCTGCTCGCACAGTCTCTCCAGCATGTGCAAGGTGGAGTTCCACCTTGTGGGCACATCCCATATGAGGCTGTGAGTGGGAAGGCCGAAGTTACGCTGCAGCACAGACAGGCAAGCAGCAGCAGGGTGAGAACGCCGAAAGCGTGCAAAGACGGCCCGCACTTTCTGCAGCAGCTCTGATATATCTGGGTAGTTTTTCAGGAATTTCTGCACCACCAAATTCAGCACATGCGCCAGGCAAGGGATGTGCATCAAACCGGCTAGGCCCAGAGCTGCTATGAGATTTCGCCCATTATCGCACACCACCAGGCCGGGCTTGAGGCTCAGTGGCAACAACCACTCATCTGTCTGTTGTCCCATGCCTATCCACAGCTCCTGCTCAGGGTGGGGTATTTTCCCCCAAACATATGAGTTTTAAAACAGCCTGCTGTCGTTTCCTCCTGGCTGTTCTGAAGTTGGTGGTGAAGGTGTTACACTGACCGGATGAGGAGGTGGTAGAGGAGGGGGAAGCGGAGTAGGAGGAGGAGGCAACAGGAGGCAAAGAGAAATGCCCTACAATTCTCGGTGACGGAAGGACATGCGCCAAACTGCTATCTGCCTAAGGCCCAGACACCACTTCATTTGCCCAGTGTGCAGTTAGGGAGATAAAGCGTCCCTGCCCATTCTTACTGGCCCACGTATCAGTGGTTATGTGGAGCTTGCCACAGATGGCGTTGCGCAGTGCACACCTGATTTTGTCCGCCAATAGGTTGTGCGGGGAAGGGATGGCTCGCCTGGAAAAGTAGTGGCGGCTGGGAACCACGTACTGTGGGACAGCCACCGCCATCAGGTTTTTAAAACTGTCCATCTCCGCCAGACTGAATGACAGCATTTCAAAGGACAGGAATTTTGAAAGGCTGGCATTCAGTGCCAGGGATCGTGGGTGGGTAGGGGGGTACTTTCACTTTCTCTCCAGTGTTTGGAAGATGGACAGCTGAACGCTTCCATGGGACAGTGTGGAGATGCTTGGGGACGGTGGCAGACGTGGTGGTGTTGCTGTCACATCCTCTGTTTGCGGGGTGGCAGGTGCCACGGTCACTCCAGAGTAGTGATGTACCGAACGGTTCGCCAGCGAACGGTTCCTGGCGAACATAGCATGTTCGCGTTCGCCACGGCGTGCGAACATATGCGCGGTTCGACCCGCCCCCTATTCGCCATCATTGAGTAAACTTTGACCCTGTACCTCACAGTCAGCAGACACATTCCAGCCAATTAGCAGCACAGCCTCCCTAGCAGACCCTCCCACC